TTACAACATATATAAAAATGTAATTATAAAAGTCATATACGTTATCTCTTCATTTCAATGTATTGATATACAATGTAATACTCTACAATGTCTTATTACAATGTACAGTGTATACATATGACATCTTGATACACACTCCAGTGCTCTACAATATCTTGTTTTGCAATGATTTATAATGTAATACTCTACAATGTCTTATTACAATGTACATTGTATACATATGACATCTTGATACACACTCCAGTGCTCTACAATATCTTGTTTTGCAGGTTGCAGCAAAGATAAAATTAAGAGATAAACATTGCAGTACCATATTAAGTGCGTTTCTCCTATATGATTGACAGTAAATACATTTCTCCAAAGCAATGAATACATTCAAATCAGTTAATTAACAAAATGGTATTTTTCTCTGACACATTAATTACATGACTGCGCGAGGTAAAGTTTATTTGTTGCATTCGTTATTCATGTTCGTTAGATATATTTCAGTTAGGAATATGGTAAACTTACTTAGACGTATTGATTGGCCGGGTTCGGGTACAACGCTGAATGACAACATAAAGGGGAGCTAACAATGTACAGGACTCTGAGAGGAATCTTTTGTTCTTACTCAGGCCAGATTATTTGGGGAATCTTTTGGTTTTCTTGTTAAGAACAAGCTGTCACGTACGAAGGTGTGTTTACTAAAACTTCAACATTCCTAGAGGAAGGACAATTACGTATTACTAATCCCAAGTTGACGCATTCCTCTATTTTGATTATCGAGCCTAGATTAGACTACGACATTGCCTGTCATATTAATTAACTATATACTCCTCTTTAGGAGGGAACACTTCCACAATTTGACCAGAATTTACATAACTCCCTTCAAAAACCCTCATCCATATCTAAGCCGATAAAATCTCAAAACCTACATCACTGAGTCAAATCATCTCCTAGTTGCTACAGGGGATGTCTAACAATATCAGTTTTTGGAGTAATTATTATTATGAATAGACTAAATGATTAAAGCAGAAGCGATGCAGACTTTTCTCACTCAACATGGAAATGTGGAGTGAAAGAGATCTTCCTCATTGGAAATTTTAGATGTAGACAACTATGGCCTCCAATGACCTTGACCCCATAATCACCTGAGCATAACACCACGGGACCTACCTGGTTATGACCTTGTCAACAGGTGAAGCCATCACACACTCGCCCACGATCCAGACGACTCTGTTGGGTACCACAGACACCATGCAAATGTCCTCCAATCTCTGAGTCCGAATTCTAATTTCCAAAATGTCCGGGAGATGGTCCTGTGATTTGTCACAGATTAAGTCTATCTGGCTGGTCAAAAGGTAGCATCAAGTTCTGATATTACGGCGTGTGATTATTTCATGGACAACAAACCATGTGGTATCAATTTGTTACAGAGAAGAACACACTGGCAAACCAGTTGAAATCTCTTCAGTGAGGAGCAGGCTAACTAGCCGAGCGTCCGCCGGTCATCCTGATTAGGGATGTCCATCACCTGCCCGTGGTCCAAGTCATTAACATGTCCGATACAGATGTGATTGGCTTCCTTTGGAATCCGTACGACGCAATCCTAATTTACAGCAACACGATAAATCCACTCCTCGGTCAACGAAATCGCATTAGGCAGGAGGAGATGGTTCGATTTGTCGTCATCAGCGGAATAAAATTGAAATAGATCTTATCAATTATACATTTCCCATTGCCCAAACAACCAGTAAATGATTTGACGTGTTGAACGGTGTTTCTCAGAGCATCGCGTTTCCGATAAGACACGCAGTCTGCAACACTTGTCCTTCTAGCAACGACACATTAGATTGTAATCAAATAACCCCGCCATAACAGAATAATGGTCGGCTACAAACAACGTCCCGTATACGTATATACATAAATTTGTACGGGGCAAAGAAGTAATTCCAACAGTGTGGACAAGTTATACTTACATAGACGAAAACAGACGGAAGTGTAGGAATTTAATTAAATTATCCGTAAAAAAACAAAGTAGACAGTTTCGACACTTAAAGCGGATGTTGACTTTTGTTTGTTTTTAACGTTATGTTGGCCGTCAGAGTTTCGGTTATGTATATTCTCCACACAAAATCACACGAGCCTACCGTACATATTTCATCCTAAGCTAGAAAATCTACTGACATCAGCCCTGTTTAGGTCCCTGAATCGTTAAATTTGTCTAATACAAGGACGCTGGGCCGTTCGGAAAGTGTTTTATTATGCTTTATACGATCCCGTCACGGTTTTACCGTGTTCACTTTGCCCATTAAGCATCGCAAAAAGCAGGTCCTTCCTCCCTCACTGTCAGTTTATTAGGCATGATACTTAACGGGTAAGCTTATCATTTATTGGCTATAATCTGTTCACGTCTAAAAAGGAGATATTTACCAATGTTTTTAAATCCTTAATAAATAACTAAATTATGAGTTTATTTCATTAAATAACTGTAAACTGTGTAGAAGAGTTTATACTGATTTTATAGTGATGTTAACCTGATCACGGCTAGCCGTCAGACTAACAGGACTTACCCAGGCCGTCTGTCCACTGTGTACAGTGTTGCTGGCCTGTGGTACCAGATGAAGGATGTAAATAGTACAACACAAAGGCTATAGAATCTCGACATATTTTTTTTCACGAATTATTCATTGCTACATATGTCAGTGATTTATCGCTCCATTGTTCATCCTTTACACATAATTCATTTTTATTGTCATTTCCACGATTGGTCAGAAATGTATTCACTTTTCTCTTTGTGTTCAAGCCTGTACTTGACCGGACGCGATATTGCTGGCGAAGATCTGTTGTGGTCTGTTTGATTATCATTTCCCGGGGGTTCTTGTACATGTACTTACTCTTTATGAGATATTATATGTCCGTAAATTTTGTATTTATAGATTTCGAACACAGTTGGAGTATGACACGGTTTCCCGAACGCTCGCATGAGATTAAGCACATCCTCTAAATCTAATCATACCACTGATCTAAAAGATCTTTCCGTGATAGAGACTAGTGAAATAGACAATTAAATTAAATTCGGAATAGCGACTATTACCAAGTGTAATGGACAATCATTTACAAATATAATTCTACGCGTTGCCGTACCTTTTACTGTGAGAAGAGAGACAACTCGGTGTACACAAAGAAAATATAACCCAATGTAAGGACCCTTTCCCGCTGCAATGAGGTGTTTTATACAGTGACCTCCCCTTAGTGACGTTTTAGAAGTAACTTTCGTTGACCAGATAGCTCAATCGGTTAGAACGATAGTATAACAATTTGCAGTCCAGGGGTCGACACACGTCCTAGCCCCGCTGATTGATTTTTACACTCCTGTTGTTGCTTGTATTTCATCTGTAGTATAGTTCCATTAAAGTTCCACAATGTATGGTTTTCTTTTAAGAAATGATTTTTCAAAACTATAGTCGTGCCGGGGGAATCAGTTTCCGATGTGCAGTTACAGATTTTGGCAGTGTTACAGGGATCCTAATAACAACTGTGAAGGGAGACAACTATAGTTTGCAAACGAAAATAATAGATTTATATATTGCAATGAAGATATATTCATATGTTTACAAAGTGCTTGAAAAAAAAAGTAATGAAATGAAACAGAAAGTTAGCCAATAACATAAAAGTCTAAGCACAAATAACAACAAATCAACAACTTGTTTTAATCTAGCAGGTACTGACATGCACAATAACAACTCTAAACCTGGCCCTAACACTGAACGAATATTGATAGTCAGACTCTGTTTTCAGTCCCTTAGTCGGGGTTTTTCGCGGACTCTATCTCAGGAAAAAGTATTTTGCTATATGTCAGGGGAGATAACTGGGTCACAAATAAAGTAAATCGAGGCTAACTGGAAGTGGGATGGGATGGGGGATGTTTGTGCGGCGCGGAGGGTACCCGTGCTAAAAGTGAGACTAAATGAGAATCGGTGCATATATATAGATTAATCAGTGTAAACCGGTATTGTTAAGCTCCTTACTGGTCTCAGACCACAATTAGTTCCACTTTCCGTTACAACAAAAGGAATAATAAAATATTTTGAAAAGTTTGCTCAGGGTCTGTTTCACTATTTCATGTTATAGTTCTAATCAAACTGAACCCACAGTGAGCTTGAAAGTACTTCTTGAAAGGCTTCTAAGAAAGATAATTTTATTTTAATGTCACTACGGAAAATACTAAATATTACAAAATATCAATGCGCATGCCTCATCCCTTCTGCAATACAAACTTGAAATCTGTGTCAATAATTACTATAATAGATATTAAATGCTTAGGGTTTTTTGCACAAATTGTAATTGAAAACTTAATTGTCTTTGTCAATCAAAGAGCACTAGAATAGATCAGACAGAAAACATTGTTTAGTAACATTCGTGTTAGGCCGTATGTAAGGGAAAGGTAAACGTTTATCACAAATCATATGTAAGGGGAGATAACCTCTAGATGATAACAGCTGCCTATGGAAGTGAGAGTTCCGGGGTATTACAGAGTCAACGGGGTTGTAACTTAACCAAAAAGTTGAGTGTTACGAAACAATGACACATCGACTTCAAGAATTAACAACAAACATATGAACAATTATAGTGATATTGTTCTTAAGAAAGGTCATTTTGTGCTACATGTGTACCTTGCAAACACACCAATATAGGATATAGACCAGGGAGAAATGTGTCGCCGCCATATAATAGTCGGACACGTACCGACACGACAACAGCACAAGCTAACTCTTTATTGTATTAAAATAACAGTGATAATTACAGAACTACGTATTCCACCACTGCTTTCACTACCCTAAACAATAGGGAATCACCTCTAATGCTTTATCAAAATACACCGCTTCTTTTTAGTTGATGACTTGTGTTAATAAGGCAGGGAAATCCCTTCTATTGATAGACATACTTATAGACGGTGATTACCTGTCGGAGGCGTCAGGTATATATTGTGTAATCAATGCCATTTGTGTGACGTTAAAGGTACAGGTAGATATATTAGGCCCTTAGTGGGGTAAGGATATCATAGTTACCTGTGCACTTGGAATTTAATAGAGAATTTTTCTAAACGTTTTACAAATCAGACCGTTTGTTTATCAAATTGCATTGAGTCATTTGGCAACCATCTGATTATTGAATTCTTTTATTGTTGAAGTCTTTGCTATTTTTCATTCCGGCGACTCTATTGAGCAATTCAAAAATTGAAGAATTCAAGGACATGGGACAAAATTCCTGTACATATTTTCAATGTCAAAAACATCGAATAATTTTCAGATCTATGTAGATGTGCATTATACACTTTAATTCGATGATTCTTCTTAAATGATTGCTATGTGACCACCTCAAACAGAGACTGGATATAAATGATTGCTATGTGACCACCTCAAACAGAGACTGGATATAAATGATTGCTATGTGACATCCTCAAAAAGAGACTGGATATAAATGATCGCTATGTGACATCCTCAAACAGATTGGATTTTATACGTTTTATTGGAGTAAAAGTTTACTACGGGAATGGATACGGCTAGTTTGTTGCCGTTTGTGTGTGTCCTATGGACGGTACAGTTATACGGTAAGTCTGTTCTCATAATATACATTATTGGTGCATGTGCTGTTTGTGGTCCTTTGAAAAAAATATAAATAACAATTTAGATATCATATGTTTTAAGGTGATTGGCTACTGGAGTCATTTCTTGTGAGTTGGAAACTGAAATCTATTGAAATTGAAACGTCGTTCTCACACTTAGAATACTTATTTATGTTCAGTGTGGTCGATTGTGACAGCTAAATTCATAATTGGTTCCTCATGTCTTGAGCTTTTATCATAGACTTCATTATTACCTACCGAGCTCGATGCGGGTTTTAATGGCGTGACTTCATTTCTATACATACAGATAGATCTAGAGATAATCGGACAATGTGTAGACACTGACAGGTAAATATTATACTGACGTTTTATTCCAAAAAGCAGTACAGCTGAATTGAATTGTACTGACTTTATATAAATGCACATTTGTAAGAGCGACCTTTTTTTCAAAGACTCGTGACAAATTACCTGTAATACAACCATTTGCCTTTCCGAACAAGTAAGTCTACATATCACAAAGGATATTTTGAAGTTAAACCAACACCATTATAAAAAAAACATCACTATTGTCGACATAAGTCGTAGCAGTACCTTGGCGATTTAGGGGAGCCCCGCTGACATATCTTTACTGTTATCACACTTCTTTGTAATAATAATGACCCGTACTCATAAAACCGTTCACGTGCTCGAAATCAGATTCCGTGTTCAAGCTCAGTCCCTCATTAAAGTGAGAATAATATAATAATAATATACAGCATTTATATAGCGCCCTATATAATTTGTAAAATTACTCTAAGGCGCTGTACAACATATGGATAATAGTAATGGTTATAATTGTGAAAACAAACAACAAAGGATTGCAATATCTTTCATACATTTAACAAGCAATGTGCACATAATTGAACAAATAAACGGGTGGTATTTACATGACGTCTTTCCAAAGATTCTAAAATGCAGACGTGAAGAGGTGAATTTTTATGTCCCTCTTGAACTTGGCCAGGGTATTTGTCTTCCTAATAGCAGATGGTAAGACGTAACGTCAGATGTTGACGCACATACGAAAAGTCGCGGATTTCGCTACATCAGCGCTATATAAAATCTGATTAAGGATCAAATATGTATGTTATTATATACCATCTTATTCAGAATTTTATTATCTACCTGAATATTTCATTAGAATATATAAAAGTTTCGAGTGCAACCTAATAATCACCGATATAACGTCAAAATTCGCCATTACTCCAATGTAATGTGTAACATAAACGGGTTACGCGTTTAAATAAATGAATATTTAAAAGTAAAATATGGGCCCATTCTGCAGATGTTTGAATTTTAAAGCTATATAACAATGTTTTCTTGAATAACATGATACTTGAAAGTCGATATCATTTTTGAAAGTTGCAAAAAATACAGGAAACCCACTTGTATCATTTGTGTAATGTTTTTAGTTGTTCAAAATGTGCGTTCATTCGCAATATGATTTCTAGATGAATATGTTATGTCGTTTGCCTGGATTCGGTTTGGTGCAAGTTCTTAATCTATTCAAACAATATGCAAAAGTTGATAGAAATTAGAGAGACAGTATTTGGGTAATTAAGATATTACTGGGTCTAGCCGTTATGTAACGGTCCGTAAAATGCGACTTTTTAAGAAAAAATACCATATTTGTGACTTTCGAATGAAATGACACATCTGTTTGTTTTAATGAAAAAACATGCATTGGCAAGTTCTCTGACTCAGCTTTTTGAAGCATAACTTAAATATATCGTGTGTCCTAACACCGCTGCACAGCATGGATTTCCTCATGTCTAGCCGTCATGTAACGCTACGTTGTTTTGCGTCGAAAACAATAATTCGAACGTCATTTTCTTGTTTTGTTTATGAACAAAATTTAACATTTTTAGTGAATGTCCTATGGTTGTTTTTTACACGCAATAACAGCCAAAACATGCATACGTATTAATAATATCTCAGGGTTTCATTTTATGTAAATTTTCTAATTATCCGTTTTCAAATTTCCGACATATTGTGTTTGAAGGATGTGGCATTTATTTAACGATTTAGTTTTTCATAATTTTTGCATAAGCAGAGTGAATGAAATTACTGGTTTTAGCGGGAAAAGGTGATATCTTCTTAATGGAGAGACAAAAATATGTATAATATCGTTACTTTAAATTTGAAAACATCCCACAACATTGAGGATAATTTGATGTCGATGGCTTTAATAATAACATGTGGGGAATTGATTTTATTTGCACATATTTGTAAGAAAAAAATCACTACGTGGTGAATGATGACGTTACGTCAATCACTTTAAAGGAAAACGCAGAGAGGGATATCTTATAAATACATCAATGACTCAGCTCTGTGTATTGGAAGCAAAAGATGACGAAACCGCGTGTAATTTTTTACTATAAAATTGTAAGGAAATGGTTGAATCGTTGTAATAGTTTTCCACATCATCTTAAGGTGTGCAAGATAGGAAATTGACCGTGTAAGACACGTCTTTTTTTGGCATATTTCTAAACATAACAAAAACAAATTTTCTACAACTTTGATTTACAGAAAACGGGTACATTCGACACAAAGAAGCATTTTCCATAGGTTAAAAAAGCAGGAATTTTAGAGTAAAGGTATCCCGTATGATGTCACAATGACGTCATTCTCTTTTGGTGACCTAATACTTTGATGCGGATGCTGGTAGTTGGATGGTTGTTCTACATGGGCGCAGCAATTGGCACCCTTCTGTCACAATGATATCTAACCAACCGACTATTGTCCCCCTCCTGTCACAATGATATCAATCCCTACGACTATTGTCACCCTTCTGTCACAATGATATCTAACCAACCGACTATTGTCACCCTCCTGTCACAATGATATCAACCCCTACGACTATTGTCACCCTCCTGTCACAATGATATCAATCCCTACGACTAGTGTCACCCTTCTGTCACAATGATATCAATCCCTACGACTATTGTCACCCTTCTGTCACAATGATATCAATCCCTACGACTATTGTCACCCTTCTGTCACAATGATATCAACCCCACCGACGTTTGTCATATTCCTGCAACATACAGTAGATCAATCCTGCACAGCTATTGTCACCTGCCAGTCACATGGACCAATCCAACTCCCTTGTCACAAATATCAATCCTACTGCCTATTGCTAATCTCCTGTCCTAAACAAAACAAGAACACTAGCACATCATAGCTTAGTGATTACTAGCTGTTGAATGTATTGAAAATGACTGGGAAACTCTTTCCAGACCGTGTGGGAGATGGTAGAAGGCCTATATTTTGACCTGGCGAGGTCAAAGCATCCTCAAAACTCCAGGGTTGACGTTCACTTGCGCTCTCTGTACCCCTGGAATATGTCAAAGCAAAATTGAAGGCACGCGGCTAGCAATTTGATTGGTCTCAGGTAGAAAAAAATTCTGACCAATCGATAGGCAGATACCTGGGCATTTGTAGATTACAAATTTCATGTTTATTGGTTTCCTCAGATACATTACAATGTACAAAATGGAGTACAGAGATGCGACACCCAACTACAAAGTCAGTCAATTTTACCGTTACGCGACCGAGCAATTCTTTTAATGTACATCAAAGTATCAAACTAGTCTTCTCGTCTCATCTATAAGGTGACGCACACTGAGCCTTCAATTTTGTCATGACAAATTCCAGGGTCACAGAGAGCGTAAGTGAGCCTAACCCCTGGAATATCGCAGATGGGGGGTGGGGAGGGGGTAAAGTAACCATTGTTGTACGTTTTGACAGACAGCAGGTTGTACAATTACAAATTACAGTTGAAGGAGGAGAACATTTAGACATTTTAGCCTGTGTGGAAAATGTAATGAGCGAAATTCAATCTTGTATGTGATTTTTCAAATTTATTTATTGGAATGCATGAACAGTGTGATAACTCTGAGGGTTACAACACCAATGTCAATGTATGGCTTAATGACAAATGACATCACGTCATTATACAATGTAACTTATAATCTGAGCGCGCTTTCATTCTCGGATTTCAATCAAATAAAAAATACGGATTATTTTAATATATGCATGTTATTCTATTAAATTAATTAATATGTGCTTTATAACTTACATGTACATATCATCGTTGATATTAAGGTAGCAGATGGTACTTATACGGGTAGCGTTATTTTATCACATTTTTCTTTCACTTTTTAACCGTTATCTTCACGTTCAACTCGATCATTGTCAAAATTGGTTACACTTGTCATATACAAACCGTGACCATATGAATGTCAAATAAATAGGCTTTACATATGTCTATTTTCATTCCGATAGCTCTGAAAGCACGTGTTTTACAAAGCCGGCCGTGTGCCACAAACGTCAAACCTGACACGAAATGACGTTAAACGTGTGTAACACTGTTGCGCGTCAACATCTGACGTTACGTCTAAGCTATTCCACAACGTAGCCGAAACCCTCACAATGCATCTGTTTCCGTAGCTCACAGTACGAGATTTTGGGACACACAACAAAGATTCTGACTCCGACCGCAGTGATCTTGACTGCTGATACAGGGAAACAAGCTCCTGTAGGTACTATGGAGCTTTTCCATTCAGTGCCTTGTATGTGTATACCAGAATTTTGTACTGCGACCTATATCGTACTGGTAACCAGTGCAACGAATAAAGCGCAGGTGTGATGTGCTCTCTCTTTCGAGTACGAGTAACTAGCCGTGCTGCAGTGTTCTGGACCCTCTGCAGACGACTAGTTAGTTTGTCAGATATACCAAAGAGCAGGGCGTAACCATAATCCAACTGAGAGGTAACAAGTGAATGCACCAAAATCTTGTAGGCATCTGCAGTTAGAAACTGCCGAATACAGCCGATGTTCCAGATCTGGTAGTAACAGGATTTGGCAATAGCGTTCACTTGTTTCTCCATGTTCAGAGAACTGTCAAAGTATACCCCTAGGTTTTTAACAGCTGGAACAGTCTCAATAGTTCTGGCACCAACCTTGAGCTGGAGAGCCATTGTTTGCTGACACTTTGGGGAAAAGACGATTAGTTTCGTCTTTTCCTGATTAAGTTTAACCATATTTTAAAAAGTTTATGATTTTTCCCGATTTGACATTTACTTAACGTTTCGGTCACATATTAAGAGTATTTTATAAGTGTCTCGCATCGATCAAGTAAAACACAAAGATATGTATATTCTAAAAAAATATGGTATCGGATGACGAGACTATACTGAACTTATTGAATTGACATATATATACATAAAGGATCTTAAATGAGTTTTCATTTCATATGAGATTTTATGAAACGAGTCTTACGAGTTTTTATCTATGCGAGCCTTGGCGAGCAAAAATTAAAACTTCGAGAGGAGTTTCATAAAAGCTCATATGAAATGAAAATAAATTTAAGATACTTTTTATCACGTAACTCAGAAAACTTACATTTTGACAGGTTTTAAAGCTAAAATGTAGAGGGCTTAATCATACGGAGACAGTCATTTTGTTGCGCCATTAGCAATTTATAACGTCACGTCATTGTCCATATTATGACGTCACAATCGATTTCTGACTGGCACAGCCAATGAAAAACGCTCCAGGGTATATTACACTAGTGACATATGTAAAAAAAAATTACACGGGCGAATTCACTGAATAACAGGCCAATTATGTATATACAGTGAATGTATGTAACCTCGAAATAAATGTCCGTGTCGCGGCAGTATTGAAAATGAGTTCACGAAGACCTAGATATGAGGCTATTGCATACAGTTTGTAAATGTTAAACCATGTTTTCTAAATATTAGAAATTAAAGTTCTTATTTACATGTAGCCGTGTTTAAAGTGCTGCTCTCAACCCACTATAAGTAAAATAAAAAAAAATGAATCATTACTCTTCAAGGGCACTGATACATAACTAAAGCGATCGCGAGGAGCGGCTTTATGGAAAACGGTAGACAACATAGTCGAAGTCAATGCGGTACTTATACCGCTAAGTATATGAGAGACGGGAGGGAATTGTTTTTTTTTTAAATTCTCAAGTCCGAAAACAATTTTCATACATATTCATCTGAATGTCATAAAACAGATTACAATTATAAATAATCGGGCTCTGTCGGAATTTTCTCGTTAACAGAGAGTGCCGACGGTTACGGATTGTTAAACAGGTTGTTACTAGAAATGTTGTTTACACCAAGGGACTTAAAGTATAATTACACATTTCCGTTACGTAACATAAACGGCTTTAACGGAACACGAGATAATTCCCTCACTTCACTCAATCACGTTTGTTACATAACCATGTACTTACGGCTTAAATGACTTTCGGAGCATGTGACGTGTTTTGATGCAAACGAAATATATTAACACAGTATAAAAAACATGTATTTTACACGCCAGTCTGAGCTTTCATCAATAAATATCCTATTTATCTTATGCAATACCAGCCTTTTAAATGACAGGCTACAACGTTAACAGGGATTTCCTTAAAAAGTCCAGAATAAGCCCAACAACCCCTAAAATATGTGTAAGGTACATTGTATGAGGTTATAAAAGGGAGGTGCAATAACCAAAAAGGGGCGTGGTTATAGGTAACAAAGTGGCGTGTATATAAGTGAGTATTGGGAAGGGGCTTGTTTATAGCCGTTACAAACGGGGCGTGTCTATAAGTGAACATTGAGAAGCGGCTTGTTTGTAACTGTTACTAAATGGGCCTGTCTATAAGTGAATTTTGGGAAGGGGCTTGTTTATAGCTGTTACAAAAGAGGCGTGTCTATAAGTGAATATTGGGAAGGGGCTTGTTTATAACTGTTACTAAATGGGCGTGTCTATAAGTGAATATTGGGAAGGGGCTTGTTTATAGCTGTTACAAAAGGGGCGTGTCCATAAGTTGATATTGAGAATGGGTATATTTATAGCTGTAACAAAAGGGGTGTTTCTATAAGTGACTATTGAGAAGGGGCTTGTTTATTACTGTTACAATAGGGGTGTTTCTATAAGTGACTATTGAGAAGGGGATTGTATATAACTGTTACAATAGGGGCGTATCTATAAGTGAATATTGATTGATTGATTGTTTGATTGATAGGTTTTACTTCCGCTTCATTACCAAGTAGTTCGGTTATCCAGCAGACGAAGAAAAGAAAGGAAAATGAGTAGAAGGGATAAAGTATCGAGTAAAGAGTAGAAGAGGGGGACAGGTTAGAGAAGGAGCCGTCTATCCTATAAATATTGGCTTCTATGCCTAATAATTGCCTTAACCTAACACTCGTCGTATTGTATCACCAAGTCTGGACCGGAAGTGAGGCACTGACCCGCCGCCAGATACACCAGCCCATGCTTATTCTATGAATTTTGCATTGGGAAGGGGCTTGTTTATAACTGTTACAAAAGGGCGTGTCTATAAGTGAATATTGGGAAGAAGCTTGTTTAAAGCTAATCAAAAGAAAACGGCATGCTTTTTAAGTAATATAACGGGTGTTTCTCTAAGTGAATTCCATGAATGGGCGTGGTTATAAGCAACAAAAACGGCGTGCCCATACGTGAGTTTCGGGATGGGGCGTGTCTATCAGAGACGGAAATATGCATGATCATATCATAAGTATCTAAAAAGGGCGTGGCTCTAAGGCAATGATCAAATCAGGGCGTGTCTATGATTGAATAACGAGATTTGGTGTTGGTATAACTGTAGGCGTTGCTATGAGAGATAAAAGAATTAAAATTGTTGCCATAGATGAAAAGAAAATTCAAAATGCAAATATGTAGTGACGCTAACTTTGTTTCTTGTTAATACAGACGTGTGTTCAGCCGCCCGATCTGGAGGTTCGTCCAGTAGAACAGGCTCCTCCAATGTGGCATCAAACTCGGCGGGCTTCGTCGGAGGTGTGGATACCGGCAGGTAAGATAATAATGTGTACAATGTACAGGCTGCTCTGTTAATAAAGAAAGATCGGTTCTACAGAGAGTAGATGAGTTAAGGATACTGATAGTGGAAAGGTGTGGCGATAGAGGCGTGGCAAATAATGACGAAAACAGACGAGTTTGAGAATGACAGAGTTGTATTCAAAAGTGATGAAGAGAGGCGATGTTAGACTAAAATAGAAACGAAATATAGCATTGGGCAAATTGTGAACCTGAATATGATATCTAACGACAGCAACAGGAACCAAGCACACCAAACAAAAACAAAAACAAACAAAAACAAAAAAGAAGTATAAATTCAGGAACTTTGGAAAGTTCTTAGTGCTGTGTTCTTGTATACATTTTCAGTTACAATTTTGCCATTGTTAATTGACAAAAATGGTTTGGATGCATGTTGACGCCGTGGTATTGTTGGTTGTCTTTGTGTGTTGACGCCTTGGTATTGTCGGTTGTCTTTGTGTGTTGACGCCGTGGTATTGTTGGATGTCTTTGTGCGTTGACGCCGTGGTATTGTTGGTTGTCTTTATGTGTTGACGCCTTGGTATTGTTGGTTGTCTTTGTGGGTTGACGCCGTGGTATTGTTGGTTGTCTTTGTGGTTGACGCCATGGTATTGTTGGTTGTCTTTGTGTGTTGACGCCGTGGTATTGTTGGTTGTCTTTATGTGTTGACGCCTTGGTATTGTTGGTTGTCTTTGTGTGTTGGCGCCGTGGTATTGTTGGATGTCTTTGTGTGTTGACACCGTGGTATTGTTGGTTGTCTTTGTGTGTTGACTCCGTGGTATTGTTTGTTGTCTTTGTGTGTTGTCGCCGTGGTATTGTTGGTTGTCTTTGTGTGTTGACGCCGTGGTATTGTTGGATGTCTTTGTGTGTTGACGCCTTGGTATTGTTGGATGTTTTTGTGTGTTGACGCTGACGTATGACATCACAAGTTGACGGAGTGAGACATTTTGTCATTATGTGTTGACGATGTGGTATATTTTGACATTTTGTGTCGACTTTCTTTAATTTTGTCCTTGTGTGTTGACCCTGCAGCATATTTTGCCATATGTTGACGCTGTCGTATCATTTATTCAATAACTGCAATCGTGTCACATATTGTCATACTGACTGTCATAGCGATGTGTATCGCTGGGTGCCAACATTTCAAACTTCCCTGTAGTGTAACTTGATTACCGGTATAGTCCTTTTTTCCTTAAAAAGTGCATGAGTTCCAATAGATGAACCTACCTGTTAAACTTACTTGTACGAACTGAAGCAGCACAGGTGTAATATGTATGTATTTCATCAACTATATTTTAACTAACTTGATTTTAACTTTTGACACAGCCCTCAGTTCATCATCTTTATGACGATATTTGGGATGCTTGTCCTCGCTGTCATCATCTTCCTCATCATTATGTGCTGTAAGATCAGACGGTACTGTTGTTTTAATCTACCTGGCTTCTTACCGGGCTCGACCGACAAAATACACAGTAAGTACACCTGTCTTGTGACAAAGTAAACCTTTAAGTCTTTTTTCCCATCCTTTAAAAGTATACGCATGTTAAAGCTATGTTGGATTATTGAATGAAATACTGTTTGAACGAAGGTAAAACGTACTGTTAAGGGTCTTCTTTACGGCTCCGTAATAGGACGAAATGACAAAACAATGATTCTAACATATAAATAACAAATGTATTTTAATACAATTACAACATTCTCATGATTTTGTGCAAAACACGCTTACCCTTCCGGATCATGTGGCAATGCCCGCTTTTATGTGGGTGGTTGATGACATATTTTCTTTTACTTTTAACCTTGTCAATTTATAAAGGCGGTTTTTTATTTCGCTGCATTTCCTTATTTCAACGTTTCTTAAAAACATTTTCTACTTGTATACAAGAAATTGTACTGTACGAAACAGTAAGGACCAATATGAACGTCGCAGTAATATATCTGATATTTGTACAGTAGTCGATTCCGTGAATGGGTCAGCAGCCCGCTGGAGTATTGCATCTGATCCGCCTCAGAAGAAATCACCATTGCCACCGTTATCAGTTGTTGCAGACCCTGAAAAGAAACCAAATATCCCACGTATGTACACGAGCTCATATTGTGAGCTGATCTTCAAATGAAAAACCCCACTTTCTAGTAACTGTCAAAGTGGTGCCTTTGTTAGTGGAACAATGAATGATTACGTCCTGTAGATCTATAACTAATGGATACACATTCAATTTAAGATCTAGCTCGACATTGGTAACCTAACAAAAGATGTGAAATGTTCGTTATTTTATCAATGAGCTCAAAAACATAATTAGATGTTGTTAAGTTGTTCTTCTAAAAAATGCCGGAAATCTGTAACAATTTCTCTTGATTTTCAGCCATTCCTAGAACAAAAAATGGACACATACCTCGGGCAAAGTCCCCGGACTCCACAGAGGGTTTACCTCCTATCTACATTCTGCCGTATCCCGTCCCCGCCGGAACGGACAGCTTCACGCCCCCACCGGAACCGGAACTGAGTGGAAGCTATTCCGAATCGGAGTTTGATTCAGAGTCGGAGTCAGCTACGCATGATGACGATGTAGACTCGGCACTCTCGGATCGTTCTCAATCACAACTGGAAGACTATTATCACAAACCAAAATAGTTTCGTACATAAAACATACTGGTCGCTGGAAGAGGAGATAATGTAAACAAAAAACGAATCATATTTTTGTATTTCTTATAAACACTGTCAAACCCATGAAGCGTTGTCTTTTGCCGTTGTTTGCTATGACTCTTTTATACAACAGGACGGTACAGCAGTTCTCATACCCACCCAACAGCACTAACCTTGTCGTCTATTATATGTATAAACGTAGCACATCCGCATATGTATTTTACAATGGACAATTAACGGTAAAACATAAATTATTTATTTAAATAATTTGTTTTCAATTGACCACCTGTTGGCAATAAATATTGAAGGTTTATGGTAAAATGGGATATGCATGGAATCATTTCAGTGATATCTTTACGTCGACATCAAAGTGACATTTAGTTTTTACCATTTTTACATAATTACATGACACATATCAAACATGTATTCCCGACTCTGTTACAGACTGTACATACTTTGTTTCTACTGCTAACTTGTTGAACTTATATTTATTTATCTTTAATCTTAAGTATGCTATGCATATCATATAATAGGCTTGTGGTTGTCCTCTAATGTCCAACAATAATGAATTCAAAAGCCTCTTACCTCTTTTGAGGTGCACTAATGCACTCCTATGTACTTACTTGTATAGTCGTTAGACAGCCAATACATGTAGTTGCAGCATCTCTGTGATATTTTAAAAGAGTGTGCTGATGAGTAATGTGTCAAAGTATGTTACATTTTCGATCATTCATTATTCAAGGTCATCATGCCAAATATTTTCAAAAGAGCTAATGCCAGGCTCATTTTTTTAAATCTGGTAAACTTAATGATGTTTAAAATTACACACAGTATCTCTGTTACTTTTGGCATACGCTTTACAAAAGTGGTTGACGGATTTTTATACACACTCATTTAAGTGAAAAGCAACCTGCTTTTGTTCCTAAACGTCTCTCGTTAAAAAACCTTTCATGTTGTTTTTTCTCGCAAGTTACATACAAAGCCTTTGACAAAACGAAGAGAATTCTTTTAAGCTATATGCAGTAACTTTCAATGGCATTTGATTAAGTAAACGAAGGAAATTATTGTATAAGTTAAAACTATATGATGTATAAGGTTACAGTTTGTCCCTAGATTATATACTTGACATAATATCTCCCTAACTTTCATTATAGAAAAACAAAACATTTGAAATTTTCGAACACCATCATTTTTATAGTATGTCAAAACAGTGTCTGAGTGTGAGAAACTATCAATGAATCTTTTAGAGTTTACGAATGGGGTGTGAGAAATGAAAAAGAATGTATAAACGTGCTGCTGGACGCTAATAATGCGTTAGCCTTGGTTCAATTATGATGAATTGAAGAATGAAATGAGCTTACAAGTTGTTGTTCGGTTGACCTCTTCAATGAGTATAATTGTCGACACGAAACAAAATGTTTCTTAACCTTCGCGAATGTTCCGTTTCATAAAACAAACTCTAATAAAAATAACTGTACTGGGGCTTATATTAAAATCTTGTTAAATCTCTTGAAACTGAAAACATTTTATTGTAGAAAGGAATTCATGATAAGTTAACATCATTCACAATGAAATACCATTTGTGATGAGGAACCTGTACTTAGGTTCCTCTATTTTGTTAATAAAACTGTATAACATGGATTTGAGTGTCGTTATCGGTGTTCCTTTCGCCAGCAGTACAGTTCTACACCAGGTATCCATTGTGACATATTAGTATTGTATACGAAAATATCCCATCAACCTGGCCGTTGTACCGGTCACTCGCTCCTGTTGGAATTGAATTTGTCGAGATTAACGAGGCTTCATTGCCCATGTTTCTGTGACTTGGAAATATAGTAAAATCTATACTTTATACACGTTTATTTTGGGTTTTGCATTCATTTTAATGTGTGGTTTTATGATTAATTCCCCTTGATTTCCTGTCTATTCGGTTCCAACATTAATATGTTTCGAATTTGTTTTGGTGTGAATTTGACGATGTGGTATACATATTTTTTCGTTTCTGTCTGGGAAAAATATAATCTCACAAGTGTTTGTATTACAATATCTCGTACAAACACTGTGTATTGGGGACGAAATTCCTCTGTGTCAACACTCCGGGACAAAATCTGAATTCAAAGTCAATATTCAATGTTTGCACTGCGCATTTTCAACTATTTAAGTCCTGTTTTGTACGGTGTGTTTACCTCGGAGATAAACCTTACACCAGTTATCTGCTAAGACTACCTATACTGGCCAACACAATACAACATAAATAAATGTAATGACGAAATAACGTACTATATAATTGAATGTATACGTTTCTGAAAAACGTCATTCAGAAGTATAATAGAAAAATATTCCATATATTTCAATAGTCAAACCACACTGAGGTTGGATCGGGACGACTCACCACTATATTCAGGAGTTACTGAATTATTTCTACGTTATAAATAAAAAATATTCAATACATCTACCCTTCAAATTAATATGTATATATATACTTTGTAGCTCAAGGTTACACAAATTGCATAAAATAAAATCTTTTAGAACCAAAAGTCCATCGATGATCCAATTATTTCACAGTCGATTTGATAACATGAGTTGTAGAAATCTTATTTTACTATTAATCCCGTTTTTAACTTTCTAAATTATATTATGATTGTGGCTCATCATGGATCCCTGTCACCATGGATCCAGGTAATATTCTCTCCTACATTTATCATATATGTGTTTTGCTTTATTATGGCTTCGTATCGTTTATGTATTACTACTTCATCTGTGTCACTGCTGGAATTACAGCTCAGCACCAATCCCTGCTTTATTCTTCTTTAACTTGAAAAGATATTAATTTGACAAAGTCTATAATTATATTTCAACATTATTTTGTCGAACCAGGTTGAAATGGGGCCCGTTCGTTGATTGTTCAGTTTGTCAAAATAATCTTAAACCTTTTAGACACATCTATTTATAAAGATCACACACGCACAGCTGATCGCACCTTTGAAATTTGGTAATAGATAAAGTGGGAAAGAAAGAAAAAAAATTGCATTCTACAGCTGTTTCGTCCTTCAAAGTAACCAAGGTTCGTACTACTAAAGACAGATACTGGACGTTACAACTTACGCTGATATAACTAGGCATGCCTTCAATGCTCAGACCTATCATTGTCGAACGGTGATATACTTGCATGCAATGAGCCTCCCATGCGGGCCCGAACATTGAGAACCAGATCCAGTAACCCACGTTAAAACACGAGAACAACGCAACACGAAAACTTAAACTCCAGCGCACTTTGCTAATAATTATCACACCTGACACCTTCTAGCATATATATTTTACTTCCATATAAAAACTGTTACGAAATCGTCATCTTACTCTATTCTTATATGAAAGAATCGCCTGCATTGAGGTAAAAGAAATCAATATGAATGAAAACAATGAATCGAAAAATCAATGTCAAATATATAATGTATACTGTATATGTTGATATATAAAAATGCAGATTCGCTTTGCCTTATATTGTTTGCGACATAGCAACCTGTTTTACCAGTAAACTTCATGAACGTTGCCATTTAAGTAGTGTAGTAAAACGCTTTCCAGCCTCCCGATGCCTATTATTACGCCTTGTGTAGTTATTCTCGTATAGTAGCTGCTATCCTAGTTTATGCATGTGTTGTATGTTTATTTCTATTGTACTCGGCATGCCATCAAGGCATTGCAGATCTGCTATTGATAATCATCCTTGCTCTATATGTTTACATAATGGTTTTAGGATTCGAATCAGCAGAATGATTGACCATCAATTCTAAAAGTTATTTCATTGAACATAACCGAGACTTGGTAAGGAAAAAGTGAGCAAGAGAAAACACGAAACCATTGTTGGTCCTATTGATGCGTTATTGAGCGCAAAAAATGTTAAATGGCAATTTCTGTAAACCTTTAACTATGAGTATATTCTAAATATAGACATACTGTTATATTGTGTGTCTAAAGGGGAACTCCCGTATTCGTGAACGTCACAAAAACCTGGCTCATGCTTCAGGTGCCAATAACAATGGTAATGTGTGTAACTTAATCCAGAGGCCTTTGTACAGGCTTTGGAATCCCTTTAATGCTTTTTGAAGTCTCACAATACACACATGTGTCCACATGCGACTACTTGTTATGGTTATGTGTACATAGATACAACAAGGGGCCCTCACGGGAGAACTGTTGATTTACTATAGCTCAGTTACCTAGACAATTGTGCTGTCGTTTGTCTTTAATTATACGGAGATATTCTTTCTGCTGTAGTAGTGACATTGCAGCATAATTGAACTAAATTGGTCTAAAACGACAACATTTTGATGTTACAGTGATTTAAACCCACACGAAGACCCCCGAAACTTTGAGTTAGACATAATGATCGCTTACTAATTTATCATGGAGGCGGAAACTGCGACCATGTGGTTACGAAAAGCAGTGTTTTGGAGTTTGCTTGGAATTATTCAATTCATAGGTAAAATCTACGTTATATTACTTATTTCTTTATTGAATTTACCTTCTGTTAAATTAAGTGAGATCATTATGACTTGGTGTATACATTCTGTGTACCTGTGTAAATGCTAGTCAATCAAAATTCAATGTAAGGCAGTACATATATATTTCGTAAGTATAATAGTCTACCTATATTAGCAGATATAAGCGTACCTCTCGATCTGGTAGTATACCTTTCTACCCAAGTCTAGTATATTTAAACATACCTTTATTAGTTTTAAAAGTGAGCATTATTATATAAGTGTATATATATATTTATTGCATACGACAGGTATCTCAGTCCGGTAGATATACTTTGGTAGTATAATACACTTCTGTATGTTGATAGTGACATATGTATAAGCGTAGCTCTCGATCTGGTAGTATACCTTTCTTCCCAAGTCTAGTATATGTATATATACCTCTATTAGTATACTATGTGAACATTATTATATAAGTGTATATCTGTATTTATTTCATACGACAGGTATATCAGTCCGGTAGATATTCACTATGTGAAACTAACTACAGAAGTATATATCCGATGATATATATAACCTACGACAATTACTCCTTGTAGTATGTGTTTCTTAACATACAGATGTAGTCCAGCGGATGTGTAGGTATCACTCAACCATCAGGATAAGGTCTAGCATACACCTGTAGTCCAGCGGATGTGTAGGTATCACTCAACCATCAGGATAAGGTCTATCATACACCTTTAGACCAGCGGGTGTGTAGGTACCTATGTGAAGCCTTAGAACGTCGATATAAAACAAAAACAAAGTTAACATTTTACTGCACCATGTGGCGGAGAAACAAAAGACTACAGATCCTTATCTAAGGAGTTGCGAAATATGAGTAGAAAATAACACAAGTGGAACACCCTGTATACCTTTAAATATTAACAGGGTTTGGCTGCAACACATAATATTCTAAAGCTAGTATTTCATGTACACTATGCCAGAATATATTCAGCTGCCACTGAAAATTTGCATGTATAATCATTTACTTTGTTATGGAGACAATGTGGTTAGACAAAAGCTTTATACAAAGTATTGCGACAAAAACTTTACACAAAGTAGTACAACAAAAGCTTTATACAAAGTGGTACGACAAACGCTTTATACAAAGTGGTACGACAAACGCTTTATACAAAGTGGTTAGACCATAGCATTATACAAAGAAGTACGACAAAAACTTTATACAAATTGTGGTACAACAAAAGCTTTGTACAAAGTGATACGACAAAAACTTTATACAAAGTGGTACGACCATAGCTTTATACAAAGTGGTAAGACAATAGCTTTACACAAAGTCGTACGACAAATGCTTTATATAAAGTAGTTCAACAAAAGCTGTATACAAAGTGGTACGACAAAAGCTTTATACAAAGTGATAAGACAAAAACTTTATACAAAGTGGTACGACAAAAACTTTATACATAGTGGTACGACCATAGCTTTACACAAAGCGGTACGACAAATGCTTTATATAAAGTAATACAACAAAAACGTTATATACAAAGTGGTACGACAAAAACTTTATACAAAGTACTGCGACAAAAGCTTTATACAAAGTGGTAAGACAAAAACTTTATACAAAGTGGTACGACAAAAACTGTAAACAGTGTGGTACAACAAAAACTTTATATAAAGTGTTACGACAAAAGATATATACAAAATTGGAACTACAAAAGCTTTATGTCTCTCTCTATCACAACACACCGTTATATACTTACGTTGCATGACATAAGCTTTATACAAAGTGGCACGACAAAAGTTTTATACAAAGTGGTACGACTAAAGCTTTATACAATGTGGTACGACAAAAGCTTTATACAAAGTGGTACGACAAAAACTTTACACAAAGTGGTACGACAAATGCTTTATATAAAGTAGTTCAACAAAAGCTGTATACAAAGTGGTACGACAAAAGCTTTATACAAAGTGGTACGACCAAAACTTTATACAAAGTAGTACGACAAAAACTTTATACAAAGTGGTACGACCATAGCTTTACACAAAGCGGTACGACAAATGCTTTATATAAAGGAATACAACAAAAACTTTATACAAAGTGGTACGACAAAAACTGTAAACAGTGTGGTACAACAAAAACTTTATATAAAGTGTTACGACAAAAGATATATACAAAATTGGAACTACAAAAGCTTTATGTCTCTCTCTATCACAACACACCGTTATATACTTACGTTGCATGACATAAGCTTTATACAAAGTGGCACGACAAAAGTTTTATACAAAGTGGTACGACTAAAGCTTTATACAATGTGGTACGACAAAAGCTTTATACAAAGTGGTACGACCAAAACTTTATACAAAGTAGTACGACAAAAACTTTATACAAAGTGGTACGACAAAAACTTTATACATAGTGGTACGACCATAGCTTTACACAAAGCGGTACGACAAATGCTTTATATAAAGTAATACAACAAAAACTTTATATACAAAGTGGTACGACAAAAACTTTATACAAAGTGGTACGACCATAGCTTCATACAAAGTGGTACGACAAAAACTTTATACAAAGTACTACGACAAAAGCTTTATACAAAGTGGTACGACAAAAACTTTATACAAAGTGGTACGACAAAAACTGTAAACAGTGTGGTACAACAAAAACTTTATATAAAGTGTTACGACAAAAGATATATACAAAATTGGAACTACAAAAGCTTTATGTCTCTCTCTATCACAACACACCGTTATATACTTACGTTGCATGACATAAGCTTTATACAAAGTGGCACGACAAAAGTTTTATACAAAGTGGCACGACTAAAGCTTTATACAATGTGGTACGACAAAAGCTTTATACAAAGTGGTACGACCATAGCTTTACACAAAGCGGTACGACAAATGCTTTATATAAAGGAATACAACAAAAACTTTATACAAAGTGGTACGACAAAAACTTTATACAAAGTGATACGACCATAGCTTTATATAAAGTGGTACGACAAAAACTTTATACAAAGTGGTACGACCATAGCTTTATACAAAGTGGTAAGACAATAGCTTTACACAAAGTGGTACGACAAATGCTTTATATAAAGTAGTTCAACAAAAGCTGTATACAAAGTGGTACGACAAAAGCTTTATACAAAGTGGTACGACAAAAACTTTATACAAAGTACTACGACAAAAGCTTTATACAAAGTGGTACGACAAAAACTTTATACAAAGTGGTACGACAAAAGCTTTATACAAAGTGATAAGACAAAAACTTTATACAAAGTGGTACGACAAAAACTGTAAACAGTGTGGTACAACAAAAACTTTATATAAAGTGTTACGACAAAAGATATATACAAAATTGGAACGACAAAAGCTTTTATGTCTCTCTCTATCACAACACACCGTTATATACTTACGTTGCATGACATAAGCTTTATACAAAGTGGCACGACAAAAGTTTTATACAAAGTGGTACGACTAAAGCTTTATACAATGTGGTACGACAAAAGCTTTATACAAAGTGGTACGACCATAGCTTTATACAAAGTGGTACGACAAAAGCTTTACACAAAGTGGTACGACCAAAGCTTTATACAAAGTGGTACGACCATAGCTTTATACCAAGTGGTACGACAAAAGCTTTATACAAAGTGGTACGACAAAAACTTTACACAAAGTGGTACGACAAATGCTTTATATAAAGTAGTACAACAAAAGCTTTATACAAAGTGGTACGACAAAAGCTTTATACAAAGTGGTACGACAAAAACTTTACACAAAGTGGTACGACCATAGCTTTATACAAAGTGGTACGACAAAAACTTTATACAAAGTAGTACGACCAAAGCTTTATACAAAGTGGTTCGACAAAAACTTTATACAAAGTGGTACGACCATAGCTTTATACAAAGTGGTACGACAAAAACTTTATACAAAGTGGTACGACCATAGCTTTATACAAAGTGGTACGACAAAAACTTTATACAAAGTGGTACGACCATAGCTTTATACAAAGTGGTACGACAAAAACTTTATACAAAGTGGTACGACCATAGCTTTATACAAAGTGGTACGACAAAAACTTTATACAAAGTGGTACGACCATAGCTTTATACAAAGTGGTACGACAAAAACTTTATACAAAGTGGTACGACCAAAGCTTTATACAAAGTGGTACGACAAAAACTTTATACAAAGTGGTACGACCATAGCTTTATACAAAGTGGTACGACAAAAACTTTATACAAAGTGGTACGACAAAAGCTTTATACAAAGTGGTACGACAAAAACTTTATACAAAGTGGTACGACAAAAACTTTATACAAAGTGGTACGACAAAAGCTTTATACAAAGTGATAAGACAAAAACTTTATACAAAGTGGTACGACAAAAGTTGTATACACAATTGGAACGACTGAAGCTTTATGTCTCTCACTATCACAACACACCGTTATAAACTTACGTTGCATGACATAAGCTTCATACAAAGTGGTACGACAAACATGTTGTGTCACTTTTCTATCACTGTAGCCTTAACACGATCAAATAATTGTACCACTTTGTTTGATGTACTCTAACAGTCATATTATATTGTTTTCTTATTGTCCATTGTAACACCAGAAGAGGTATGTTACAGACGTGGGTGAAGCGGCGTACCGGAGCGGTTACAGGAGCTACAGAAGTTACAGGAGTGGTTACAGTAGCTACAGGAGTTATAGAACCTACAACTCCTACTACCGGAGTTACTACTACGGGTACTACGATGCTGGGTCTGGAGGTAACATGTAAGTATATGTATGTACCTGGGACCTTATATAGACTTAGCCAGCAATATCAGTGAAGGGATTGTGATATTATCCTATCCTTTGTTCTTCATTTTATTTCAAGTATGGATGTACTGGTTTAATTTTTAAAAGATATAGACAATGTATAGTACCCGTAGCCCTAGCCCTTACCATAAACTCTACCAAGAAAAGAGATATTATCTCTATGTGCATTAAGAACCTACATTATTTGATGATGTTTAAATCGACAGAACATTACATTTGCCCGACGTCATCCAAAAAATGCCTACGCTTCCGGTTCCGCTTCTGAGCTCATATCCCATGATCCTGTTATTCTGAACTGGAATGTTGTCCATCTATGTTGAGCTTATTTTTCTTTTAGTTTGTTTTTGTATCAGTCCCAATGATTGGTATTGTTTCTCCCTATAGGACAGCCGCCATTGTAGGAGGAGTGATCGGAGGCGTGTTCCTGATAGCACTCGTGTTCTTCGTCATCTTCCTCCGGTGTAAATATGTGTCATCTTACCGTCGTACGTCCCCGGTCGTCGTCGTTACTGAACAGCCAGTGATAATCCGCAAACGTGGTAAGGCGTAACTCAACCTGGTTAAATAAATATCATCTCACAGAAATCGGTCTATGACGCCATGATGGATGTTATTCATATATCCCGTGGTAGGGTGATAGGCAAATTGGTTAACCTGAAGGTCATACTTATAAAAGATATACAGCAATCTAGATCTGTTGTTTGACAAAATTAGGGCACTGTAATCTAATTTTCAGAATTTGACCTGCATTATTTGAAATTGTTATCGGAATCGGAAATTCATTAACAAAGCTCTGTACATGTTGTTTCACAAAATCAGGTCAGTGTGACCTATTTTTCAGAATTTGATCCGCATTACAAAAAATGAAATCGGGTTTAGAAATGAATTCAAAACTGTTCTTTGTTCTATTTTGCTCCCGTGACTTACTTTCAAAGTATAAAAAACAACGAAAAATAAACTAAAATGTATCACCACAATCTTCATTGATTGGAGTGTATACTTCTGCATGGTTCTCTTTTCGGCGGATCTATTTTGAGCGATATAAGATTTTTTGAGCACGCTGTTCTGTGAGATAATCAGTTCCGAGGTACTCTAAACGATTCAGGGACAATTTAAAATAGATGAGGTATATCACCTGGTCGTGGCTTTATATAATCTACGGATATATGAATTGATCGAAATTTTTCTTCATAAAAAAAACACACAATCAATTCTTACATTTTAGAGGCGAAATCCAAACCAGAAAAAGTCATAGTTCCACGAAAGAAAAAAACAGGGCCCCCACTTCCTCTGACTCCACCAGGACATTCGGCTGGACCTGAACCTGGTCAACATCGACCACCAAGCGCGCCCCCTGCCTACGATTCTGTGTACCCCCCGTCAAAGAGCGAGGTGGGAACAGGAGTGTATCCGCCCCCACAACTTGATGAAGTACCGAACGCCTTTGTGTATAAACCACCATTTTAGTCAATTTCTAACATTGTTAGCATGGCATACGACACTTGATTATGTAAGCTGTTTATTATGTGTATAACACTACTGTGTCTCTGTCGTCATGGGACAAAGATGGTTTAAACTTTTGAAAATTGACCAACCCCCATTTCACACATACCGTAAATTACCACAAATAAACACAGCAGGTCTGTAGCCCAGGGCCCACTTTTATAAAACATCTCAACTCTTAAGATTTTCTCAAGTCTAAGATTTCCCATAGACAATACATTGCTATTTTCCTTAACTTTGAGATGTTTTATACAAGCAGGCCCTGCAAGTAAGCCTGTTGCTGCAGATTGAGATTATGTTGCTGCATTATTTTCACCATCAGTCGCTAATTATAAGTGATTAACAAAATTGGTACCGCTCTTACCTTAATTACGGTAAGTCGCTGTAGGTTAGCTTTTATATAATGATTAACAGAATTGGTACCGCTCTTACCTTAATTACGGTAAGTCGCTGTAGGTTAGATTTTATATAGTAATTACCGCTCTTACCTTAATTACGGTAAGTCGCTGTAGGTTAGATTATATATAGTAATTACCGCTCTTACCTTAATTACGGTAAGTCGCTGTAGGTTTTATAAATAGCATTTATTATGTATACACGTTATGTCAGAATCTTTAGATATTATAACAGACAATGATATTCTGTTTATCTCTAAATATTTTATCTATAGCAGATGACTGTTTCTATCTTACTGATGTGTAAAGTTTAACGCCAACCTGGTATTACATTTTTCACTTGCTATACAAAAATCCTTATAAAAGTTGTAAAACGTAGACATTAAAACCACTGCTTCTCAAAATCAGTTTGAGCGAGGCCCGTCAAGAGTATAAATGGCTAAGATTGCTAGATATGGCTTGTTTGTCGGATCTGTAACTTCTCAGGAATACTAAATAATTATAAATGTGTTTTAGTAAGACAGAATTCGATTGTGTTCATGTTTGATAGAAATTTACCAGAAATACAAATAAAACCTGTATGACTGACAACCCTGACATGATATCGGTACCCAGTTATCGTTATAACTTATAGTGTATGACTGACAACCCTGACATGATATCAGTACCCAATTATCGTTATAACTATAGTGTGTGACTGACAACCCTGACATGATATCAGTACCCAATTATCGTTATAACTATAGTGTATGACTGACAACCCTGACATGATATCGATACCCAATTATCGTTATAACTATAGTGTGTTACTCACAACCCTGACATGATATCGGTACCCAATTATCGTTATAAATATAGTGTAAGACTGACAATCCTGACATGATATCGGTACTCAATTATCGTTATAACTATAGTGTGTGACTGACAACCCTGACATGGTATCGGTACCCAATTATCGTTATAACTATAATGTGTGACTGACAACCCTGACATGATATCAGTACTCAATTATCGTTATAACTATAGTGTGTGACTCACAACCCTGACATGATATAAGTACCCAATTATCGTTATAACTATAGTGTGTTACTGACACCCCTGACATGATATCGGTACGTGTGTGACTGACAACCCTGACATGATATCAGTACTCAATTATCGTTATAACTATAGTGTGTGACTCACAACCCTTCCATGATATCTGTACCCAATTATCGTTATAACTATAGTGTCGTTAGTTGTATGATACGGACAACCTGACATGATATCGGTACCCAATTATCGTTATAACTAAAGTGTATGACTGACAACCCTGACATGATATCAGTACTCAATTATCGTTATAACTATAGTGTGTGACTGACGACCCTGACATGATATCGGTACCCAATTATCGTTATAAATATAGGGTAAGACTGACAATCCTGACATGATATCGGTACTCAATTATCGTTATAACTATAGTGTGTGACTGAAAACCCTGACATGATATCGGTACCCAATTATCGTTATAAATATAGTGTGAGACTGACAATCCTGACATGATATCGGTACTCAATTATCGTTATAACTATAGTGTGTGACTGACCACCCTGACATGATATCGGTACCCAATTATCCTTATAACTATAGTGTCGTTAGTTGTATGATACTGACAACCTGACATGATATCGGTACCCAACTATCGTTCTAACTATAGTGTATGACTGACAACCCTGACATGATATCAGTACTCAATTATCGTTATAACTATAGTGTGTGACTCACAACCCTGACATGATATCTGTACCCAATTATCGTTATAACTATAGTGTATGCCTGACAACCCTGACATGATATCGGTACCCAGTTATCGTTATAACTTATAGTGTATGACTGACAACCCTGACATGATATCAGTACTCAATTATCGTTATAACTATAGTGTGTGACTAACAACCCTGACATGATATAAGTACCCAATTATCGTTATAACTATAGTGTATGACTGACAACTTGGCATGATATCGGTACCCAATTATCGTTATAAATATAGGGTAAGACTGACAATCCTGACATGATATCGGTACTCAATTATCGTTATAACTATAGTGTGTGACTGACAACCCTTACATGATATCGGTACCCAATTATCGTTATAAATATAGTGTAAGGCTGACAATCCTGACATGATATCGGTACTCAATTATCGTTATAACTATAGTGTGTGACTGACATCCCTGACATGATATCGGTACCCAATTATCCTTATAACTATAGTGTCGTTAGTTGTATGATACTGACAACCTGACATGATATCGGTACCCAACTATCGTTCTAACTATAGTGTATGACTGACAACCCTGACATGATATCGATACCCAATTATCGTTATAACTAAAGTGTATGACTGACAACCCTGACATGATATCAGTACTCAATTATCGTTATAACTATAGTGTGTGACTCACAACCCTTCCATGATATCTGTACCCAATTATCGTTATAACTATAGTGTCGTTAGTTGTATGATACTGACAACCTGACATGATATCGGTACCCAATTATCGTTATAACTTTAGTGTATGACTGACAACCCTGACATGATATCGATACCCAATTATCGTTATAACTAAAGTGTATGACTGACAACCCTGACATGATATCGGGACCCAATTATCGTTATAACTATAGTGTATGCCTGACAACCCTGACATGATATCGGTACCCAGTTATCGTTATAACTTATAGTGTATGACTGACAACCCTGACATGATATCGGTACCCAATTATCGTTATAACTATAGTGTCGTTAGTTGTATGATTTAAAATGACAAAAGAGCAATTCTAAACATAATTCAACTGTTTATACCCAGATTATGACATTTCGAGGACAAATGAGTACTAGTCTATATGTATCTGTTATAAGCTATTGTAACAAATGAGTAACAGTATATGTATCTGCTATACCTATTGTGATAAATGAGACCAGTATATTATCTGCTATACCTATTGTGATAAATGAGTAACAGTAATTGTATCTGCTATACCTATTGTGACAAATGAGTAACAGTATATGTATCTGCTATAGCTATTGTGACAAATTAGTAACAGTATATGTATCTGCTATACCTATTGTGGTAAATGAGTAACAGTATATGTATCTGCTATACCTATTGTGATAAATGAGTAACAGTATATGTATCTGATATACCTATTGTGATAAATGAGTAACAGTACATGTATCTGCTATACCTATTGTGATAAATGAGTAACAGTATATGTATCTGCTATACCTATTGTGACAAATGAGTAACAGCAATTGTATCTGCTATACCTATTGTGATAAATGAGTAACAGTATATGTATCTGCTATACCTATTGTGATACAAGACTACTAGTACACGTATCTGCTATAACTATTGTGGTAAATGAGTAACTGTATATGTATCTGCTATACCTATTGTGATACAAGACTACTAGTACATGTATCTGCTATAACTATTGTGGTAAATGAGTAACAGTATATGTATCTGCTATACCTATTGTGGTAAAAGACTACTAGTACACGTATCTGCTATAACTATTGTGGTAAATGAGTAACGGTATATGTATCTGCTATACCTATTGTGATACAAGACTACTAGTACACGTATCTGCTATAACTATTGTGGTAAATGAGTAACAGTATATGTATCTGCTATACCTATTGTGATACAAGACTACTAGTACACGTATCTGCTATAACTATTGTGGTAAATGAGTAACAGTATATGTATCTGCTATACCTATTGTGATACAAGACTACTAGTACACGTATCTGCTATAACTATTGTGGTAAATGAGTAACTGTATATGTATCTGCTATACCTATTGTGATACAAGACTACTAGTACATGTATCTGCTATAACTATTGTGGTAAATGAGTATATATTCGAGCCACTATCTGACTGTGATAATGACTGGAGCTTAAGATTGTAGGGAAGTTATCGCGGTGTGAAACACTCTCTTCGTCAATCCGAATGTAATATCGGTTACGTATAAATGTCTGTTTATTTGTGTTTGTGTGGAGATAACAATTGTCGTCGGTTTAATTTAGTATGCATTATATCACAATTACAAATGTCTATGTATGTGCGTATTCATTTCGCACTGTTTCATGGACTGGAAATGAAATAATTTCTACAACTGGAAATGGCCACTTTAACTATACCTTTGAGCATTACCTGTTGATATGATTGTCTATTATATATACATTTACTTCAGTATTAAACTATTGTTTTATGTCGACATCTATTTATTAACATAGTGCCGGTTGTACGTACGGAACAATTGTATTGTTTCGTAGTCAGAGTTTATATATGATCATAGACAAACGTGTAAACTTTAACAATTGTAAAATAAACTATTATAAAAACATATTTTGGGATTGTTTTTTATGTTTTAATCACGAGTAATGTATCTTTGATCTGAGATGCGCTATCACATACATTATATAATGTTGTGACATACATTACGATGTGTGTGTGCGTGCGTGTGTGTGTGTGTGTGTGTGTGTGTGTGTGTGTGTGTGTGTGTGTGTGTGTGTGTGTGTGTGTGTGTGTGTGTGTGTGTG